TCATCTGGAGAGCTGCAGCAGATATGAGGAGTGACACAGCCCAGCTTGGGGACCTGCAGCCACAGGTCATGTGCGTGTGATTAGTCGGTGTCTCTGAAAAGAAGATTTTTTTTTAAGGGAGTAGACCTGATGAAGAGAAGCATTTGCACGGATGCTACTTAGGATGAAATGCTGGGTCATTAATCTTTATAAATTCGTCACCTTATGCAGGGAAGAAGTTTCCCTACGTGGTATCTCACAGCGTATTTAGGTACATTACGGAGGCGGGGAGGTCCTTTCCTTTCACAGATACATCCAGCATTGTAGCAGTGGGCACAAAGGAACAAAAATCTCAGGAAGCAAAAATTGCCATGAAGCAAGGATGGACGAAGTAAGTACAGATTCCAAAGCTTTCCAAACCCTGTAATATTTGCGACTGGCATGGGAGAGAGGTAAGAAAGGGAATCCAACCAAAATCCAACACCTTGTGGGACTTGGAACAGTCTCAGATGAGGTACATTTAAGAGAGCCTTGCTGCTCCGTGACTCTCAGACTGTGGAAAGGTGAAGGAGATAAAGCTTAAGGGAAAGAAGAGTATCTACATTCCCCACCATGGACCAAGAATGTCCACTTTCCTGCTTCTTCCAATAGATGGCAAGAGGTTGCTGGGTAAACCCAAAAGCAACAAGAGCAGAAGAAACACATCGGAGGGTTCTGCTCTTGAGGCAGCCGTTCCCGCTCGCCCTAGGAGCATCCTTAAGGAAATGCCCAAGCACGTCACATGGTCAGCACAAATTCAGTGATGTGGTTAGGATGGAAAACACCGGTCCTCTGACCCGTCCCCACAATCAAACCGATTACACCCCAAAGACAACAGCAAGCTTTTTCTTCCCTCAAGCCCACCACCTGAATCAGAAAACCAGCAACCTCAAGCTAAGAGTCTCAGCTGTCCTCTTGCCAGCTCTTAGCTTCTGCTCTCAGAATGCAAGCCTGAAATATCTCCCCAATAAAGAGCTCTGAAGCAAGAAGCAACATTCCTGGACCCCAATTTATGCTCCATTTACTTAGACACGACTACAGCATAGATACAGCCACACTTCTACCCACATTTTCCAGGTTGTGTGGAGGAGCGGTGTGCTCCTTGCTCAGAGGCATCTTCATGGACACAGCTGCGTCACGGAGCACACGCAAGCACACGCACTAAAACCCCACAAGATGTTCAGGCTAGAGAGAAGGCTACATTTTAAAACATCAACAATGTTCTAATATGACGTATTTCCCTTCTCTAAGCATGACGTAAAGGAAAGAAAGGAACATGAACCAATGTCCTTGGTATCACCGTCATTAGACTCCACCAGAAACAAGGGAAAAGGATCCTCCTTCACTTGTCAAAAAAATCCTATGATGTCTCAGAAGGATTCTGGGACCTACATAGAATCACAGAAGGGCTTGGGTTGGAAAGGGACCTTCAAAGATCACCTGGTCCAACCCCTCTGCCATGGGCAGGGACGTCTTCAGCTCAATCAGGTTGCTCAAAGCCCCATCCAACCTGGCCTTGAACACTTCCAGGGATGGGGCATCCACAACTTCTCTGGGCAACCTGTGCCAGTGTCTCACCACCCTCATCATAAAGAATTTCTTCCATAAGGAAGAAATATTGGACATAAATCCAATCTAAACCTACCCTCCTTCAGCTGAAAACCATTGCCCCTTGTCCTGTCACTACAGACCTTGGTGAAGTCTTTCTTTGTCTTTCTTAGAAGACCCCTTTAAGTACTGAAAGGCCGCCGTAAGGTCTCCCTGCAGCCTACTCCTCTCCAGGCTGAACAACCCCACCTCTCCCAGCCTTTCTCCACACGAGACGGTTCCAGCCCTCAGACCATTTCCATGGCCTCCTCTGGCCCCGCTCCAACAGGTCCCTGTCTGTCCTGCGCTGGGGACCCCCGAGCTGGATATAGTACATAAGTTGGCTTGACAGAAAACACTTTCTATATCATAAGTTCTCCAAAAGGAAATTTATTCACCAAAAAAAGAGCTGGCAATTCAAGAAAACTTAAGATCTGTGAAAAAAGGATTTGCTTGTGTAGTAGAAAAGAAAATCACTAAGTGAGGTAGCCCTGCCCCAACAGCAGAGAAGTATCCATCACCGCTGGCAAGATGCTTGACTTCATCTCTGGACTTGGTGCATTCCCAGCCCCATGAAGCCCACCAAACGGACCCTACTAAACTGGCATAAATGGTCAGGAGACTGAAGATCAGAAATTTTCCACATGTGTTCAGAAACACTGAGGTGAATGGAGCAAATATGTAAAGTCCAGGCCCAGTTAAGCACATGCCAAATCCCACTCACACACACTGTATAAAAACCAGCCTAATGTAAAAGCACATTTAAAAATATTTACGTCAAACCATACCATTACACAGATAAGAGAGGTATTTTTAGAGACACATGGATTTTACCCACACAGAGTGATTAACTATTTAATTGCTGGAATTCCACCTAGGATATGGGGGAGCAGGGTACTTCCCAAGCAGGAAATAACCTAACCTAAGTAAACTAAGTTAAGAGGTCGGGCACAGACACATTCAAGAGTTTAACTCAATTTCTTCCACCTTTTCATTTCTGAACGCTCTTTACCATCATGAGTCTAAAAGGGAGAGGTTCAATCCAAGATAAAGACACCCAAAAAATAAATGTCCCAAGTGGCTGGTGGCCATCCCAAGCAGGGCAGTCACAGCCTGGAGAGTAACTCCAATCGGCTTGAAGAGGACAACCAGCAGGCTCCATCAGTTCCACGCTCGAGATCTCCAGGCACCAGGCTGGGAGCTCAGACACCCAGCACACACAAAGCTTAAGCTTAAGTTTCTTTTGAGGTAGGGAGAAGGCAGAGGTGGAGGTTGAGTTGCTCAGACTGAAGAAGTGGGACTGGCATTGCTGGAAGATCTGGAAGACAAGATGTTTTTTCAAATGAGAACATGTTGTTAAGTGTTGGCTTTGCATGAGAAAGAGAGCTTCTGGTCCAAGGGGCTCCTGGTCCAGTTTAGCCAGTCAGCCAAACCTCCCCAGGCTCCATCAATTCCACACTCAAGATCTCCAGGCACCAAGCTGGGAGCTCAGACAGTCAGCACACACAAAGCTTAAACTTCTTAATCTGGAGCTGAACTGGACCAAGAGCCCCTTGGACCAGAAGCTCATGCAAAGCCAACGCTTAACAACATATTCTCATTGGAAAAAACATCTTGTCTTCCAGATCTTCCAGCAATGCCAGTCCCACTTCTCCAGTCTGAGCAACTCAGCCCCCACCTCTGCCTTCTCCCTACCTCAAAACCCATCAGGCGCACACCCTTGGCTTTGCCTCTCTTCCTTCTGCAGCCCTGGACCTCTGTTCCTCGGGTCCAGAAAAAGCAGCATAGCCCCAGTTGTGTCTCCTACTGTTGCTTCAACTTGGAGATACGTGGGGCAGTGTGCAGGAAAAGGGGACATGAGCAGCATCAGAGTCCCTTTTCTTTCTCCTTTTTTTCTAGCGTGATATTCAACAAAAAGGGGAAGAAGGAGATGGAAAGCATCGTTGCTGCTTCAAGATTGGCACAAGCAAGGACGAAGCAAAGCTTTTCTGAAATGCTTGGCAATTTCTGTCCCATCCCACCTAAGACAGGTTGAGCTGCTGAGGGTGGCATGAGGAAGGAGCAACAGCCTGGTTTTGTCTGTACCCAAAGAGCAGGCACCTAATCAGGGCAGGTTTTTCCCAAAGCAGGGCTGGAGTGCTTCTGCGCGCTAAAATATCGGGAGGATAAGGGTCCCAGCATGCCTAAACATTCAATCCTGGTGCAGTGCAGCGGATCCAAGAGCGGAGCGCACCCGTCAGCGCTGCTGTTGTCTGTCTGCATCTGGTTTTTAGCAAATGTGACTTGAGTGGGAGCAGAACACTCAGTGGGTACCCTGGCAGCTGACATTTAAAGTTCATGTTACTAAGCAAGAAGCAAAACACATAAAAGGTGGTGGTGGGGAGGAAAAAGTCAACCCTGTTTTTTCCATACTCCTGCACAAGAACAGCTGGATTGGGTCAGACCGACACTTCAGCTATCCCAGGGTCTTCTCTGCAGCAACAACCAAGTGTGAATACCTAAGGGAAAATTTAAGCACGGGGCAGGCATGCAGTGACATTTGCCCAGCACACTTTCCAGCCCATAACCGTGTGCAGCCCCGAGATTTCCAGAAATGGTACGTTTGTATTTAATAGTTAGCTGTACATCATGTTATACCACTATCATAACACCTTTGATTTTTTTTTTTATATCTATAAATGCCTAGAGGGCTTGACCTGCTCAGGTCTCGTAACGCCAGGCACTATATACAAAAATAAATAGTTAAGATAGAAGCTGCTCCAACCAATTTACAGAGAGCATTATACTGCCAAGTTTGTATTTAAAAAAAAGTATTTTAGCTTTCTTTTATGAAAGGCTGCAATAGATATGATTAGAAAACAATTTGCCTATCTACAACAGGAATTTATAACAGGAATCATGCCTTTCCCAACACACTGATTTTAACCCAGCTAGCGAACACAAGCAGTACTTTTTGCCTTCTTTTTAATATAAAACAAAAATAAATTATTTACTAAGAAGATATTAAGACTAATAAACACACAAAAACCACCCTAACTCTCACAAATCTTTCTAGGAGCAGCACATACCTACTGTGTGTTCTACTCCAGCCCGCTGATTACCTTGGCTTTATTAACTTTAGAAATCAACACAATAAAACACGCTAGACACAGCGTTCCTGGAGCTTCAGCTTATGCATTCCTTGACCCAGAAATGACTTGCTTCGTTCAAAACGTAATGCAACTCTGTACCAAAGTTCATTTAATATAAACAAGGCTCCAACCCATCCCAAACACCAACACTTTCTAATCGACGCTTGCAATCTCCAAAGCTTTTCTGTCTGAGGAGGGGTAAGGAAAAAGGCGTTTGGAGGAGTATGTGCAATTTGTGGGCACAGATAAAACGTGAATTGATACCTCTTGGATAGGAGCTTCCTTTGGATGGAGACAATCTGGAGAGGAGTCTGCCTAGGGCTGCAGGGCAGTGAGTCTTCACAGCATTCCACGGCTCTGCAGGAGCACCCAAAAGAGAGAAAGAGAGAGAGACCCATGAGGCTCCGCGGGCAAACCTGTCGCACAGAAAACACGGATCTTTCTAGCAAAGAGTGGTCTTCATCCACCTCCACCGGAGCAAAAGGAGAGGTGGGTACATGTAAGAAATGCAGTCAAAAAAGGAGCGATGGAGAAGCAGGGTAAGAGGAGGAGAGGGAAGGGATATGGGAGCTGGCTACAAGACCAGCAGTTGCAAAAAAGACGGCGCGATGTGAACGGTCCGCCACTCACGTTTCCTACGGCTGCCGTTACGTACGCACCTCTCTTACAAATAAATATTCCAATTTGCCTTCTCCTAAAAATACCAAGGATACCTATCTCCATCACCATAGGTACAGGGAGAAAGCCAGCCGAAATTCAACATTTGCACCTTCAAATCAAGGCAGGAAATCTTTCCAGCCTTTGGCTGGAATGCTCACGCGGCGCGTCTCGCACGAAGCCCGCGTCAGCGACGCTTTGCCTACGCTCTGCGGAAGAATTGCGGAGAAACGAGAAACGAAAAGCAACGGGAGCAGATGAAATCAGAACTAGGATCGTCTCAGCTTTCAAAAGGGAGAAGTTGTTCAAGCTTTCGTTCAAATACTTGTTAACCAGCTCTTTCTCAGGATTTGGGACTAAACTGGCCAAACGGAGTTTTACACCTTACTCCTACACCCTCCCTTCCCAGCTGACACAAAAGCTCAGAGAACTGAAAATGAAATACCTCAAAATAAAGTCCAGCACACACAAATAAAAAGCTCTCAAGCAGCTCCACATGCTTTATGCATTATAGAGAGGAACAGAAAACCTACTGTTCGCAAACCAGGACCAGTGCTCCTTATAGCAGTTGTTTATTTTAATCAGTCCAGTACCAAAAGGTTTACATTAAATATTTTTTCATTGCTTCTAACCACTGACCCAGTATCACTTTACATTCACGCAAAAAAACACTCTTGGGAAGAAAACAGGACACAGAAAATGTCGAATCCAGTAAAATAACGGAGAGTTTCTTTGGGAGCGCCGATCCATCCCACCTTTCCCTGCAGCATTACACCAAGAGGCCCTTCAAGCCCAGCAAATGAAACAGCATGAAATCATAGAATCACGGAATGGTCTGGGTTGGCAAAGCCCTTTAAGCTCCCCCAGCCCAACCGTTCCCCTACCCCTGCCATCCCACCCCCAAACCCTGGCCCTCAGCACCGCCTCTGCCCGGCTGTTAAATCCCCCCAGGGCTGGGGACTCGACCCCTTCCCTGGGCAGCCCCTTCCCGTGCCTGACAGCCCCAAGGGGAAGGAATTGTTCCCCATGGCCAACCTCACCCTGCCCTGGCACAACTTGAGGCCGCTGCCCCTCGTCCCAGCGCCCGTTATCAGGGAGAAGAGACCGACCCCCACCTCACTACAGCCTCCTTTCAGGTAGTGGTAGAGGGCGAGAAGGTCTCCCCTCAGATTGGAAATGAACGGGGGGGGAAAAAATAAATAAAGATAAATCTTCATTTTAACTGAAGTTCCTGGAATTGCTTACTGCAGGAAACCACCACCGTTACCATCGGAGATGGAATCCTTGGAGAGAAGTCAAAGCCCACCCTGCTGATGCTCAAACGTCCAGATAATCTGATGCTACCAAGAGCGTGAGCACCAGCTCAGGAATATTTTCACCTGCTTGACTTCTGTATTTCCACCTTAAAATACGCATATTTATCGCTTGGAATTTAATCCTGGTTTTACACTTTTGGGCTTGCCTTTATGGTCCCCCAGTTCAAAGACGTAACTCTAAAGTATATAAGCAAACGTCTTTAGGAGAGAGAGGGAAGCGTAAGTGGATTCCAGCAGAAACGACGACTTGACAAATCTCATCACATCAAGCTCTGCAGTGGCAAATTAGTCTCTCTTGGAGCACATTCTGTACTCAAAGTAGCCTCAGCGCTTCGGGAGGTACCAAATATAACACAGCCCCGATTTAACTTCCTTCCAGGAATACACACAGTCATTTATCAAGAAGACGTGGGCTGCAGTTTCAGTTCCAACAGCTTCAGTAACATTTTGCAAAATTAAACAAATGTCTCCTTTTGTGGCAAGGAAGAAGCAGAAAATAATCTGGGTCCAAGCAAATGGGGGAGAAAACCACCTCCCCCAAGGCTTCCTTCACCCTTCAGCAATTTTAGGAAAAGCACGCCTTGCCAGCGACACCAGGCTCAGCACCAACCATGGGATCGACGATCCTTCTTTCCACTCCTGTTACACCTCGAATCTCAATGCTGCTGCCGTCCCTGTTTCATTTAGCAGTGCCGGTTTGATAGCTACATTTGCTTCAAGTCCAAGTTTTGGAACATTTTTACATCTTTACACTTGTACGGCCAAGGATAAGCTCTGCTTAGCAAATACTAAAGGTTCCCCGTACGTGTCCAACACCGCCGCGTGTGCTGAATATGTGAGGGTTTCCAGGCACCACCTTGATTTAGCGAGAGGACAGTCTTGCAGCAACCTTTAATGCCGGGGGATTAGCAGAAAGTTCACCTTTTTGTTCATCTCCAGCTGCTAAAGAGACGGAGAGAAGTAGTGTACCCACCTCCCATTAACCTTGTCGGTGGGATTTTCTTCAGCTGCAACAGCATCAATACCTTCCTGTATTGTGCTGCCACACAGACGCTCAGGAGAATCACCTTTTTTTGGGGGGGGTGTTGGGTCCTCTTTCTGTTTTTTCTTGACCAGAAGTCAAAACGATTAGGTTGGCCATAACTGGACGCTGCGACAAGCTGCAGAGAGATGGTGGCTACCCATCCGCGTGCACACACGCCACTGCCCTCAGTCACCATTCAAAACCCAGTCGCAAACGGTCAGAATTTAAGAGAAATCATTCAAACGAGGACTAACACACAAAAAAAAATCTAGTTTCAGGTGGATCTTCCCCTTAACTTCAGTGCATGAGAAGGTGCAAGACGTAAATGCAATGGAAGCTGTGCCACCATGCTCTCCTGCTTCGTGCTGTACCCTCATCTCCTACCCCTCTGCGGCCAGAGTCCGAGACCGGCACGTTCTCTAACAACGATGTCAAACACACGCAAAATTTAAACGCATTTGCAGAAACGCAGTCAGTCCCGATGAAGGCCTTTGAGTAGAGGCACGAAGATGTTCATTAGAGAACAAGAAAAACAAACTTTAAAGAGGGAAAATATGACACGCGAGGAGGTATTAATTTGGAAAATTTAGGGAAATAGCACAATATGGGGAAGTTCTGCTGGCACGGCCACGTTCATCAAGAGTGTGACCTGGGATTAACCCCACGATGTCATGAAAGCTCCCCCATGCAGCGTGCTTGGTGCAGCTCTGCCAGCAAACCTTGCTCCTCGGAAACCCATGGGAGTGCAGCAGCAAGAGAAACCTCAGCCTCTTGCAGAAAGTGGAATAAATCTGCAGAAGTCACCTCCATGAAGGATGGGTATCACAGAATCATGGAATACCAGGTTGGAAGGGACCTCAAGGATCATCTGGTCCAACCTTTCCAGCCAAGAGGTAGGAAGGGAAGAGAAAAGCTTGTCTCTCTGTAGATCAACAACGAAAAGAAAAGCAAGCAAATGGGATAAACTCATTTTAGTGCTGAAGACCAGCAGGCATACAACGTATCTAGGGTGGACATTTAAATTGGAACATGGCATTTTTAACTACCGGTCTAAAAATGCTGGGCAACATGTTAGAAGTCCTTCAGGACACACCTGAAGAAACTATGTGCCAGTCCCTGAAGAGCTAGCTGGAGCTTTCACGTGAGGCATCTAGAAATCAAGATCTTTTTTTCCTGGTTGTCTCTAGGTCCAAATGGGGCTTATTGCTCCACCTAGTAAAAGAACCAAGCAAGAAAAGGGAGCAGAGAGCAAAGACTTCAAGAATACAGAGAAAAAACAATGCTGCCTTCCCCGAGAGAGGCAGGTTTCCTTCTCCCACTCCTGCCACCCTGGCGGCCTCTCGCAGGCTCAGTTTCAGAGCTGATGGAGGTATGGCCATCATCCCTTGGGTACCACGGGAAGCCAAATGCTGACCTCACACTGGCAAGCTCAGGCAAGGCAAACACCGACGGAAAGCTAGAATCCACGTCCTTTAGCAGAGGCAGAGCACCAGCTCCCCCAGGTCTTGAGCTGACAACGTTGCCATCGGTGGGACTGCCTGAAAAAATGACACAGTTTTTCCTGAAATGAAATACGGAGAGAAGCAAAGGAGAAATATTCACTAGCTGGAAAAGGCTTCCATGCTTGGCAAGTACGATTGCTCTTTTTATGTGATATGATTTGGATATTAGAGGGTGTGGAAGAAATGCTGGAATCATCCTCATCCACTCACCCACCAGGCACCCAACTCTACGGGCAGGGGCACTGCCAGCCACCAACAGCTGAGACCGATGAAGAAGGTACTTGGATGCCTTATCAAGTTTGGGAGGTGCTTGTATCTTGGCGGTGAGGGGTTTGTCCTGCTTGGGTTTTTTAGAAATACGAGATGTTGCTAAACCATCCCTCTTCGCTCCTTACGGATTTTTGCCACCTTGGCTTGTCCACCAGCTTTTTGCAACTGCAAGTAGAAAATTCTTCTCGATTGAGAGTCAAGGCTCTTCCAGCTCTTGCTGACTACGCTTGACTTCCTACCAACCCTTGTCAACTCCCTTTCTAGAGCCAAACTTGCCCCAACTTGCTGAATCAATTCATTAAATTGTAGAATACATTTTGCACAACTTTCCCATTAACTTCTAATTTCCTAATTATTAGATTACATGCTCTAGCTATTAAAGCCATTTACCTCTATCAAGTCGAGCAAAGAAACCTAACGAGGTTCCTGCAGCCTTCTCCACAATGAGTCCTCCCTCCCCTCCCACTTTCTTCTTGGTGTGCAGAAGTTTAAAACCCTTAACATTTCTTTAGAAGATTACTTAGAAGACTACTCCTTAGAAGCTACTTCGTAAGAAAACTTGTTCCCCAATATCTTCATCAGCTACAC